TGGCTAACATGCTTTGTGCCGATGCCGGCGTGGCGCCCCCTAATGAAACTATCGGGTCGGCGGACCCCTCGCGTGGTGGTATCTGCATTTGTGCGAGCGGCCGTTGGATCAGCGTGAGCATGGCGCCTCCTATGAACATCGTACTATTGGTGGTACCCCTTGGTGGTAGGTACTGCTTTGTGTCGGGCCGATGTTAGGCATGAAGAATAATGTATGGCGCCCCTTATGACGCGCATGGACGAACTAGTCAGGGTTTGGCAACCCCTCATGTTACGGTTACTGCTATGTTTGTGTGCGATCGCGGCACGTGGTTGCTGGTGGCAGCCCTATGAACTCGTTGCGTAGATATGCGCCCTATCTGGGTGATAGCTGCTTTGTGTGCGACGCCGAATAGTCTCAGATGATAGCTGTTCCTCACCTTGCATTCTCTATGAACATCTAGTTGGCGTTGTGTGTGTGTGTGTGTATGTGTGTGTGTGCGTGCGTGTGTGTGTGCGTGCGTGCGTGCGTGCGTGCGTGCGTGCGTGCGTGTGTGTGTGCGTGCGTGCGTGTGTGGGGAAAGCGAGAGAGAGAGAATACCCGAGTAATAGAGGCAACACCGCCTATTATATAATATGATACCCCAGTTATTTACTCATGATATATATATATATATAATACTATCTATGTAACTATATAGGATAATAACTATTTATAGAACCTGTTAGGGCTGGCACTCGTATGACTAACACTAGGGACTGGGACTGTGGGGGTGTGGTTGGCGCGTAATGTTGGCTAATGATAGGAAACCTGTTGATCGTGAACAGTCGCCTCTGCCGCACCACGTGATTAGCTGCAGCAATTATTGATTTGTAGATCACTTGGCGCGGCGCTTTTAGCTCCGCACACGCGGCTTACATCAAAGCTAACATAGCAGACGTATCTGCCTATTATGTATGTTAGGCTACTTCTGCTTATAGTTATATATATATATATATATATATATATATATATATATATATATATAACATATAATTACCAACAGAATTTATGTATACGGTAACAAAGGAGTCTATCACAAAACGTACTATGTCTCCAAAGAGTTTAAAGAAACATAAGCTACGATAAGACACGAATACAATAAGACACGAATACGATAAGACACGAATACGATAAGACAATCCTATTGATACATACCACATGGGAGAGCCAGGTTTGGTTCTGATTTCTATCGGAAAGTTGTGTGTATATATATACCATTTTTCACTGACCACGTGATTTAACTAGGCCCACGAGTTTTGGCAGTGTAGGTTAATTAGTTTCAGAGGTATGCCTAGCCTTGGTCAGCTTGACCACTGGTCCCTGGTCGTACCGATTGTTTGTAGGCTAATTACTTATTTAAGATGTCGCCTTGCTGCTGTTTGTAAAGCTAGCAAGGGCTGTCTGGCCTAGCGCCTCTAACGAGGATTGTCCGAGGCGCGTCCCATGCTTGTTAATCACTTTCTTAATCACCTTCTTTCCAACGCGCGGCGCGGTTCTAACTTATAATAACTTTCGCTTCATTACATATAATATTTGCTATATGGCTGTGCAAAATACTGCGAGCAAGTTTATAATTAGTGCAAACATGTCACGTGGCAAAATCAATATTAAGATAAAATGGCTGCCGCAATCTGCAGCCAAAGGAAGGTTGAACAAATAGACGATATAGGTTTGGGTTAATATCAGGAGTATATTGATAAATATGTTTTCGACTCCTGTTAATATGCCAGGGCTGTTATAACGTTGTAATAGTAAAACACCCAGCATTTGGGTAAGACCTCTGCAACTGTACCATGTACTGCCTGGATTTATGTATTATATATTATATTTATTATTATTATTTCCAAAGTGGATCACGTCATTAGCCGGTGGCTTCTTGGTTGACCGTGTCCCAACCTTGGACATATGGATTCATTACAGTGATCCTGTGCTGCCCTCTCTTGCATGAATAAATAATCATTCTTATTATATAGGCTTGATAGTAAGTTAAGCTGCCTTCGTGTCAAAGCAAAGTCGTTGGAATGGTTTATTTACGAGTGTGTTCATTATTATTATATTTTTCTATATGCATTGCCTGCCTCAACCTACCTTGCATAGTCCTCGTATCTATATCTGACGAAGCATTACTGCAAAACACTGCTCTTTAAAACATGGTAAATCATAATTTTATTCTCTACACTAAGCTCTGTTTAGCAGTATCTCAATGATATTGTATGCTAGGATATATTTATAGGGAAGATTTGCGGTGTGCACCAGTAGGGTGAACTGACAGTGCCATTAGGAGCCACCAATGACTACATGTGCGGCTTTACCCCCTAAATAAATGAAAGATAGGAAACAGGATTGAGGCTCCTGACTCGCCTAGAGCTAATAAACGTAGCTATAATGGGAGGTTGCTTCCTGCGTTTCAGGGGAAACTTGGCACCCGATCAATTCTCGGTAAATCTCATGCAGATTGTGTGTGGTGGTGGGTGGTGGTGGGGGGGGGGAATCTTCTGCTCAGGATACTGATCATTGACCCTTCACACGTGCTATTATCAATCAGCGCAGTATCTGTGGCGCACGCAACTATGCATTGCTCGCCCCCATCCGTGCGCTTTGTCCACTGGCATATCGCAAAGAAACTCAAATTCCTGTTGTTAATATGTTGCACTGTTTTTCATCCCTTCTCAATAGCCGGAAAACATCGTGTTGATGTTTCCCGATTATTGCACATCGTTACAAACTGTGAGCTCATCAGTTGATGCTGTTTATTCACAGGACCGACGTGTCTGCGAGCGTCGACGTTTACATCCCACTAGATGGAGGCACCGTAGCTGTCTTTCTCGCAGTGCGTGTCAGCGGCCGCATGGGATGTGACAGTGGGAGAGCGCTAGGTGCCTTCTTCTGGGTGTACCCGAAAGACAAAACCTTTCTTCTCACAGCTGACGTTGGTAGGTCCTAAAGTGACCACGCGTTCAATCGATCAGATCGATATCTTCAGTAAGCTTTCTAGGTTTAGTATACGGACGTACACGCATGCGTTGCACAGTTTTGCACAAATTCTGATCGTTGTTCTGGTCAGTATTGCTTGACTCTGCAGCCATACAAAGGTTATTCGTCATAGTCGATGGGATTAACAAAGAATGAGAGAAGCTAACGTTGATCAAAGTGACATATCAGTTGTGTGGATCAGAAAGGTTTCAATCTTACTATCAACTAGAGATGAAGGAAAGGAATGGGATGACAAAAACACGAAAAAACTTTATTTGAACACTCGTGTGCAACCTTCATGATCGTGCCAATACAGAAATCATTGAAATCTTTCCATACGTCTGTCTCTTCTCTTATCTTCTCTATCTCTCTCTTCTCTTCTCTTGCCAAGATTACGATGCTTATAATTTGTGACACGTGGCTCTATCTTGTTTCAGCTTTGGTAACTGTAATCGCAGGAGGAACTCTGGAGATGTCATACGATGAATGGCACACCATAAAAGTGCGCGTTCAGGTAAGCAGTACAGATGGCATCTTTAGTAGCGGTCACAGGTAGAAATTCAGGTGAGCCACACACGAAAACGCGGGTGCTTAAGTGAAAGCTGACTTATACAGGTAGACATTTGTAGACACACACACACACGAACGCGAGCATGAGCACACACGCACGCACGCACACACACGCACACTTACACACACACACACACACACACACACACACACACACACACACACACACGCACGCACACACACGCGCACGCAAAAAACAGGTAAATTGCATCACCGAAAACAACGTGAAATGTTTTAAATTCTTGCTCAACCCGAATCTTGGATTATAGGGTTCATTGAGGCAGAGGGGCCAACTCTACACTCCTGTACCACCCACCTCTACACTCCTGTACCACCCACCTCTACACTCCTGTACCACCCACCTCTACACTCCTGTACCACCCATCTCTACACTCCTGTACCACCCACCTCTACCTATAGCTTGCGTGAGCTAACTGTCACCATCGATTCCTCCGCAGGGCAAAGAATTTTTGGCCACCGTAGACGGAAAGACAGCATCCCGCACGAATCTTCCTCCTAATATCCAGCAGGGATTCGTTGCCATAGGAACCGGAAACTTTGGCATCGCAGAATACGACAATCTTCAGCTGACGTCGCCGTAGAATGAATGCCAAACGCAGTGCCTCTGCTAGATGCATGGAGAATGTAACCGTGGATCATGGGGTTACATAGCGTAAACTAAACGTTGTGAAGTAACCCCCTGTATTGTTGCAAAAATCTTGATAATTATCTTCTGTGATATGTTACATTATGTTATTGTTATTAGCTACCGAACGTATTTTCGTAGCATTTGATTTGCTGTATTGTTGTACAAGCTTGACTACTTGTATTATTACTGATGGATGAAAATGTGAATGAAGTTACAAATTACTAATATAAGAAGATGGTAATATTCTTGTAATAGGTATGTTATTGTTATTTTTGTTTTGTCTCTTTTATTTTTTCCTTTTACAACACAACGTGTATTTTATGCTCACGCACGCACGCGTCCACGCACGAGCACATGCACGCACGCACACGTCCATGTGCGCGCACACAGACGTGCTCACGAACACTTGCACCCACTAACACGTGCGTGCACACGCGCGCGCGCGTGTGTGTGTGTGCGTACGTGCGTGCGTGCGTGCGTGCGTGTGTATAAGTATATACGCCTATACGATATCGGTTTGACTTTCCCTAAATTTTGATCACTGGGACGCAGAAATTGACACATGATCACTGGCGCACCCTCGCGGCGTTAATGAAAGGTCCGCGGCTTCAATTTGGGCATCTGCGTTTGTAACGATGTCCGAGCCCTGGCGAGCTTGTTCGGACAAGTTCGGCTACATCCGTAAACTCTTCCAGCTAATACAGCACACATATAGATAAATAAACGTAACCTCTACTGTTGTTTCATGTGCAGATTAAAACATAAGAGTGCAATGCGAGTAAATTTATTGGCAAGAATACTCCGCGTTTTCTAAGTGTGGCAATTTTAATATAATAAACGCAATCGCGTGTAAGCGAAGTCGTTATATAGTTTGACAATTTGTTTGGTGTATTTCTAAAAAGTTCTGATTTCTATGTCACTACAGTGGCTCCCGTTTTATCGGGACCTTGATAAACGAGCGCATCGCACAAATAACGTTTTTGAAAAACAATCCCCATGCACGTTGTTATACGCTCACCACTTAATCGGTACCACCGCTTGATCGGGACCTCATTCTTGTGCCATACTTCTACTTTCTCTACTCTACTACTATCTTTAACGACTTCTTATGTCTTTTTCATAATTCCACACGAAATTCGACACACGCTGTTAATAACATGCCAACCCCACCGTGTGCAACCACTAAAAAATTCCTAAGCTAACCCCACTATTGATTTCAGGTAGCACCAGCCGTCGTTACACCTACCAGCAGCCAGAGCAATTCATGTATCGAGAGAGAAACACAGCACACAAGCACAGAGAGAAAAAACAAAAAAGTCTTTTCAGGTGGATGGATCGATAGATGGATCGATCGATTGCCAAGCACTTATCCGTGTCATTGTGTCGGCGACAGTAAAACAGATGGGATGTCTGGCATCGAATAACTTTATCACCGCTGACAACGCAATTCGGAATCAATACACTCCCCAGCCACTTGGCGACGGTCGGCGTGGACCGGCACCCGTCCGTTTTGCGACCGATCGTTGCTAACGAGGTTTGCCGTATCCGTGCGCGGATTAATGCACGTAGCGTCAGTCTATAGGACGGTGTCAGGCGGGTATTGGGACCAGGTGCAGTTGCGACGGCATTCCACGCTGCTGAATTGTGTCGATGCGACATTTGATAGTTTGTTCCTAAAAAGAAACGACAACAGATGTGAAGTTTGGTGACAAAATGAATGGTGGAGCGTCGGGGAGAGCGTGGTGGAATGTAGATGAGACGGACCGCACTGGAGGAGCGCCAATCGTTGTGCTGTGAAGCCAGCTTCTAGTTGTGAAACCATGCGTTGGTATGTGATGGTGGTAGATTAACCATGCGCTAGTATGTGACGGTAGATTAATTGTAATACGTTAGTATGTGATGGTAGATTAATCATGCGCTAGTATGTGATGATAGATTAATCATGCGATAGTATGTGATGATAGATTAATCATGCGCTAGTATGTGATGGTAGATTAATCATGCGATAGTATGTGATGGTAGATTAATTGTAATACGTTACTGTGTGATGCTAGATTAACTATGCGCTAGTATGTGATGGTAGATTAATTGTAATACGTTTAGTATGTGATGGTGGATAATTGTAATACGTTACTGTGTGATGCTAGATTAACCATGCGCTAGTATGTGATGGTAGATTAACCATGCGCTAGTATGTGATTGGTAGATTAATTGTAATACTTAAGTGGATGTGATGGGGCGCGCCGGCGGATTAATTGTAATACGTTACTGTGTGATGGTAGATTAACCATGTTCTGGTATATCTGATGGTAGATTAACCATGCGTTGGTATCTGATGGTAAGATTAAAAGCATTGCGTGGTATGTGATGCCTGAGTTAATAATGCGTTGGCTATATATGCGTAAGATTAAAGCATGCCATTGGTATGTGATGCCTGAGTTAATAATGCGTTGGTATATGATGGTAGATTAAAGCATGCGTTGGTATCTGATGGTAGATTAAAGCATGCGTTGGTATGTGATGGTGAGTTAATAATGCGTTGGTATGTGATGGTAGATTATCATTAACCATGCGCTGGTATGTGATAAAAAATGAATAGCGCGTGAATACTCACCTGCAAAAATATTCGCAACGATTTATTAAATTTATAAAGCATCTAAAGCTTGAGACGGGACGTACGGTGCATGGGTATGTTTTTTTATTCATGCAGCATCTTGTTACATTGTATTTAGAACGTCCGACCGCGACACTGATTAGATGTTGACAACAGACTCTGATTGTCATTCCGGCACCGTCTGCATTCACGGGGGATCATCCTGGGCTTATATGTTAATTAAACGTTCATCACCGATAAACATGTCACAATAATAATAATAATAATAATAATAATATAATAATAATAATAAAATTATTAATAAAAACACTAACAAATATAATATCACTCGTGTGTAGGATTTATGCCTGAATGACTAATATTCAATTACGTCTATCACAGTGTCACAATGATAATTATTTCTCTACTGTCGCGCAGCAGGATTTATGCCGTCCCTCTATACTGGTGAACTACGACAGCGACAACATGAGTGCGGCAGTGGACGGGGAGGCGTCGGCTGCGCTGATGGTCGCCGACAACGCGACGGAGGGCGTCGCCGAACACACGTCGCTGCTGCCCGCAGGAATCTTCCTAGAGGTCGCCTCGATCGCGTCTCTCGTTGCGAACGCCGTTGTCTGCGTTTGCATGGCGGCGAGCAGCCGCGGCGCGTCACCGATGACGTCACCGCTTCTGCTGAATTTATGCGTGGCGACGCTGCTCGATTCGCTGAATCTGCAACAGATGGCGCTGCTGCAGCTGCTCTCCGCGTGGAAGGCAGTGAGATTTCTCTGTCAGCTGAGTGTGTTTACGGGACGATCGGTCGACGCTGGGATCTTATACGGACTCACCCTCGCCGCAGCCGAACGCACTCTTCACAGCGCCGCTCCCGCCTTCTACCGGACGAATATGACGCCGACGAAGGTCCGCGTTGCCATCGGCGCCACGTGGCTGGTGTCGATCATCGTCAACGTTCCCGTCCTCGTCGGGGTCGTACCGGTCTCGCTGCGCGGGAGTACGAACCTGGTCTGTTGCGTAGCAACGCGAGAGTCTGCAGTCTACGCACTGCTCGCCGTCGTCGTCTGTGCATGCGTGCCGTGCGTCCTTCTCCTTCTCGTCGTCGCGTGGCAGGTGGCGCCGTGCCGCGGCGACGAGCGGGCGGCCGACGTCGCGAGCGCGTCGCACGACGTGCTGTCGAGCAGGGAGCGACTCGTCGGCCACGCTGCGCATGCGTGGGACGACCGTATGTTCGGTAGGTTCGTCGGCATCGTCGCCGCGACCTTTCTCATCCTAAAGCTTCCGTCGGCGTCGCTCGCCGTCGTCGCTGCAGCGCTCGACGCGCCCCTAGCGGAGTCCCTACGCTGCGGCGCGCCGATACACGCAGTCGTATACTGGATGGCGGCTGCCTACCCCGCCGTGTTTCCTGCTGCTGCTCTCGTCCTGCTCCCACCCCTGCGTGCGGCCCTCAGCGAGGCACGCTGTCGTAGGAAGGGACACATCAGCATCCCAGGTAACCAGCAGCAGGCGAGTCCTGTGTTCCAGGTGCCCGTGCTGTACGCGACCACCGACGGACTGCACCTGAGGAAGAGCGCGCCGGAGCCGACGTCGTTGCTGGAGCGTAGCGACGGCATCCGGTCGGCAGACCTGCGCATCACGTTCGCCGACGGCGTGCGCTGCGACGTCAACGACTCGTGCGACTGGACGACGACGACGAGCACGGAGGAGGGAAGCAGGGGTAGTCGCGACGCGCTGTCGGTGTCGCGCAGCAGCGGCAGGACGACGAGGGAAGACGTCGGGCGTGCGTTCACGTCGCCACCACCACCGCCGCTGTCACCTCTGCCACTGTCACTGCCCTCACCGCTGCCACTGTCACTGCCGTCATCGTCACAGCGGCAGTCACGACCGCCGCTGTCGTCCTCGCTGCCGCTATCACTCCCGTCACCGCTGCAGTCACAACCGCCGTTGCCATCGTCACTGCCGCCGCCGTCACCGTCGTCACTGCCGCCGCCGTCACTGCCGTCACCGCTGCCGCTGTCGTCACTGCCGACGCGTGACGCGGCAGTCGTGCGCGGTACGTCGGCTGGCGTGTTCGCGGGCCGAGCCGACGGCAACGCCCGCCGCCGCCTCCGTGACGCGGCGGGATTCCAGCAGCGCCGACGTGCCGTCTCCATGATCAACGTACGACATCGCGCTCACCCACACCGCGACTTCGACCCACAGGTCGACGTCGTCACACCAGCTTCCCACGCGCCTCGCAGCAGCACGAAGGCCCACGCCGCCCCGCTGAGACACGATGCCGTGACGCACGTCGAGGCGATCGCCGACGCCGACGCCGCAGCAGTGGCGCCACCTGACGGAGAGGCGGCGACGCTCGCGCTTGATCGAGCCGCCGACGGGAAACCGGTCGCCGGGAAGATAGCGCGGAATGTGGCCGTCCTGAGTGATCCGCATCCCGCGACCTCCTTCCCGCATCTTGTTGGCACGCCCCGTATCTCTAGCATGTCGACGAACGCCGTCGCCAAGCTAGAATCAACGCTGCCACTGCTGACGACGAAGACGACGACGACGCGGGTGAGGAAGATACGGCTGTCGCAAACGCAGCCGCTTCCCATCGCAGAACTCACCGCCAGGGTGAGGAGTAAGTCGGCGACGTGGGAGAAAAAGCACGTGGCGCCTCTAGCGGCGACAGTGCCGCGCGCGCGAATACTCAAACCGCTACTGCGCGCGTCGCGAACGGTCGGCAAGAAGTCGCTTGACGGCAGGAAACACGTCGGCTCGAAAACGGCCGCCAAGCGGCGGCAGGGAGCCAAGGATGCGACGTCGCCAACGAAAACGCCGCAGCCGAAAGCACTGCGGGTGAAGAGACAGAAGGTTTCGAAGGACGTCGGCGCAGAGGGCGCTGCGGTCGTAGCCAACGTCGCAAAGCACGGCAACGGAAGACCCGTACGGCTGGAACCGTTGGTTCGATTCGCGTCTAGCACGCATGACACGCCCGGGGGCGATAGCAGAGCATGAATTATTCGTGTTGATAGCACAACATTCTGAGCTTGGAAAGCAATTTATTTAATTACGCATCCCTGGCACAACGCATTATATGCTCGTGGCCTATATACTAGTTTATTGTTATTAAAACGAACTCACAAAATTTTCCAATTATTAAATGGACCACTAATAATAAAATAATTATGGTCATAAAATAATAAACATTATAAATTATATATACATTTATTTATTTACTATATTATATATATATATCCTAATAAAATTATAATAATAAAAGCGATTTATTAATATTAAGCAACCGTCTGTGTATACATGTCCAATATATGTGTAGAGTTCGTATAACACGTCATCACCATGCTTCTTTCTCTACAGTTACGTGGCAATTCTTGCAGTCCAATTTTCCACTTCACCTTCGTCTTATAAATACCTCTCTAATTATACCACAGACGCACTCACACACAATTATGGGTTTTGTCTGTAAACCACACACATATTACACACCCCTGCAGGGGAATGTACAAGATTTGTACCAGGGGGAGGGGGGTCTAACCGTAACCCAAACTTGCGAGCACTGTAGGTGCTCGCGGCGAAAGGGGGGTCTGGGGGTCCTTCCACCAGATTTTTTTTGAAATTAGACCCCCTCATATGCGTTTCCTCGCATCTGACACAACAATAACTTTATCTTGATATGTGCATCAATACCATTTTTGTCTGGTGCAATCTTTAAAAGAAAATAAAACGTTTAATAAAAATATAATGGACATTCTGCGCGAGCAGGGGGGGGGGTCCGGACCCCCTGGACCCCCCCCCCTGTACACGCCCCTGCTCTGAGTAATTAAATGTAAATATATCGACCCCAAATCCCTTCTTTGATTATTATTAGGAGCCAGTATTCTGAACTTCGCTAGGACATGGGATAGATTATAGAGCCAGATCTGTCTGGCGCATATCTGCTCAAACACGTCAAATCTTGTTATAATTACATGTTTAAAATAAAGAGGACATATTCAGGTGGAGAGCGATATGAAAGTAAATATGAATGATCCCCTTCTTTCCCTCACAGTCACATATTTCTAAGCACCCCAATCTGCTCAACATTCCGCCGAGTGAAAGATTGTACCTTATTCTTACCGTTGGTCGGCGCTAGTATCGCACATGAGATGTAGTGGGTGTGTGATGCCAAATGAAAGATAGAAATACATAATTTTTTTTCAATATCAAATCTAAATCAGAGAGTAGGCCTACATATCCCCTAGTATAAATGTCTTTATTCCAATACCTCTCTTTAATAATTATGAGGTGTTAATCTTACGAGCTTTCCTAAGACGTGGGGAAGATAGGGCTAGACCTGTCTGAGCGCATATCTGCTGAAACATATCACACCTTGTTATAATCATATAATTAAAACAGAGAGAACATATTCCGCTGGAAAACGACGTAAAAACCCCCGGATCCCCCTTTGTCTGTTCATTGGTCTGTTGCATGATGGAAAGCAGTCCATCATTCTCTATATTATCGAATTGTTTGATATGAAAAATTTCTCAACGTTTCACCGTATTATTATGTGGCGCCAAATCTTCCAATCCGCCTTAAAACGCGAGATTGATTATCTATATATAAAGTTGTTCAGGCGAATTTGTGTGTTCGCGCATAACTAGAGAACTCCGCAGCCTAGAGGAAAACTAAACATATTTTCAGAATCAGCCCGTCTGGGAGGTGGTTCTGGCGGCAACAAAATTTCAGAAAAGTGAAAAATTTATAAAAATTATATTCATAAAGTAGATACCGCAGCGATGGCTCAATGGTAGAGTGCTAGCGTCGTATGCGGAAGGTCGTGGGTTCAACTCCCGGCCGGGTCATACCAAATACTTGAAAAATGGTACACACTTCTCTGCTTAGCGCTCAGCTAAAAGAGATAGAGTGTGGAAAACGATGTCATGTCTGTCTATATGGATGTGGGATATGAAAAATTCAAAGCACTATATACGTTCATGGCAAGTTTTTTTGTAACAAAATAATAACTATCTATAGGTAGTGGAACCTATATATAAAGTTGTACAGCCGAATTTGTGTGTTCGCGCATAACTAGAGAACTTCGCAGCCTAGAAAAAAACTAAATATATTTTCAGAATCAGCACGTCTAAAAAACAAAATTTCAAAAAGGTAAAAAAGTAAAAAATTTATAAAAATTCTATTTATCAATAAATGGCGTACAGATTAACATTATACATCGCGTACGTGTGTACCGGCCCAACAGCCGAATGGATAAAGCATCGTACTCCTAAACCATTGATGATGGGTTCGAATCCCACTCGAAAAAATGCGTTGTTTCTTTACTTTTGGACTGTTTAGTATGTACTTCTGCCGTATTCACCGTTAATTTTAAAATGTAAATTTTTTACCACATTTAAACGTTTAGTAAAAATCCAGAATAAACTATGGTAGATGATATATAAATAATGATAGCGCAAACTGACGGGAACACTTCACGGAAGCCTATGTAGGTTACATATCAAATATTATTATATTTTCTATATAATTTCATTTCATAATATAATTTTTGACTTTTTTATTTTAATAACTTTTATTTTATTTTATTTTATTATTTTTTACTGTTGGGATGGGATGGGATGGGATAGCATGGAATAGGATGGGATGGGATGGGATGGGATGGGATGGGATGGGATGGGATGGGACGGGATGCGGTGTGATGGGATGGGATGGGATGGGATGGGATGTGGTGTGATGGGATGGGATGGCATGGCATGGCATGGCCTGGGATGCGATGAGGTGGCATGGGATGGGATGGGATATGGGATGGGATAGGATGGGATGCGGTGCAATGGGATGGGATGGCATGGCATGGAATGCGATGGATGGATGGATGCATGGATAGATGCATGGATAGATAGATAGTTCGATTTTTTGGAGTATTTTCTTTTCAACCAAGCGGTCACCAACTGAGTAACGCCACTGATTTCCCCGGGCAACGCCGGGTATCCCGCTAGTATGATTATATGTTATGTGTGGATTTTAGGAACGTAGCTAACCCATTTTGCTTAGGGGGAAGCTACGCGCGGGTGGTGTACTATTATCTATAGGAAGGTGACTACCATTGACCATCATGCAATGTGTCCACATTTCTATGGAGTGAAGGGGGCAAATGCCACATTTTACGCGAACAATAACAACATTGTATAACATAATAAATACATTGTATTACTTTGTTATGTTTCTATTATACATTATTATTAGTTGCTATGCGCCGATGAAAATTTTTTCAGATAATGCTTGACAATGGTCTGCACAAAAGCAATCATAACTCATAATGCTTAATTATTGTTATTGTTATTATTATTATTATTAACATTGTATTTTAATAATAATAATTATTATTATTGTGATCAGCATCAGCATCCCTCACCCGTCCCTACCTCCCTCAATCCTTACTTTCCGTTCTCCCTCAATCTTTACTTTCCATCCTCCCTCAATTATTACTTTCCATCCTCCCTCAATCCTTACTTTCCGTTCTCCCTCAATCTTTACTTTCCATCCTCCCTCAATTATTACTTTCCATCCTCCCTCAATCTTTACTTTCCATCCTCCCTCAATTATTACTTTCCATCCTCCCTCAATCATTACGTTCCGTCTTCCCTCAATCCTTACCTTCCGTCCTCCCTCCCTTCCTCCCTCAAGCCATCCCTTCCTTCTTTCCTCCCTCCCTCCCTCTCCTCCAGCAGACAATCCTTTGCACTGCTCACTTGTTACAGCCTGTACCGGTACGCCGCCTGGTGGTCGCTTGGAACCGCACCCATGCTGTAGACGACCTTGTTGCGAGAAGCTCGTGAAAACTGAAGATAATAAGGATAAATTCCCACATAATTTGGTAAATATATCTCGTGTCATTGTGCTCAGTGTGTAAAGAAACACGTATAGTTCTCGCATGATGTTTGGTGTCTGATGTGCGTTGTGAGCGAGTGAACGCTTACGAGCTTTTTTGGCATCCATTTCTCGTTTTCCGTGACTAATTTGCAAACGATCGGCAAGGCACGAAGGAGGGGTGAGTCCGTGTACACGCTAGCACAGCACCGGCGTTCTGGACTACTGTCAGTGCCAGTACTAAGTGAGTTATGTGACTAAAATTGCATAATGATTTACTGCCCGATATTGTATTGTGCTGTCGTATCGTTATCGGTAACAATTGCTACTACAACTACAAACTTAAATTAATAACTTGTATTCACTAATTGAGTAATTCCATGGGGGCGTTTTTAAATTGTTTGGATTTTTAAATTTAGAGTTAGACCCTATTTTAGGCATAGCATAAGTTAGAATTTGCATATTATTCGTATTAACACTACCCCAGATAGTTGGACCAAATTTCAAAGAATAAAATACTCTTTAGACTTTACTAAATAAAGGCAAGCACGTGTTTATGTACGATTATGGATAAAAGTAGAAGTACACAAAGTTGCTAAGGTTGAGCCCTGTTTCACAGCAATGTGGCACATTCCATATTACTCTACATACAATTAGAACTTGGAAAGCGATGGATTTCTAGTATTACAATATTTTGTATTATGGTGGCATACATTTTAAATATGATTGTAATTGATGTCTTGTGTTCATTTAACTTAAGTTAACGATGATAATTTTGTACGACGGCCATGCCATTTGTGACAGAACAAAATTGTTCTCCGGTCCTAGTCTGGTTTTAGTGTCTGCTACGGTGTGCATGCAAATTTTTCCGGTGACGAAAACAACCACACTGTCTGGAAGACAGGGTTCACCACAAAACAGTGCAAGCCATTTATGGAGTACTCGAAATTAACGATTTTTAATGCGGCTGGAAAAAAAATGCTGAAAGTATATCTGACATTTAAAGCTGGTGCTAAGCTTATTTAAGTTTGAAATATAAAGGTCATCTCAGGCTATGTAATCTGGAGTGACTGCTCACTAGTGCCACCATTATTTAACTTTAAAATGGCTGCATGATACCATATGTACGTGTTTGCTGACAATTCGGCAGTGGAATTTTTGCTGAATTTTGATATTAGGTGAGTTCTGCTTGGCATCTTAAGCCGCGTTCACACGGTCATGGTTTGGCTCGAGCCAAATGGGTTAAATTTGGCTCAGGCCGGTTTGAGTCGGAGCGTTCACATGTACGCAAGTGAATACTGTCTGTCAAATTCAAATTCAAATTCAAATTCAAATAAATTTTATTGCACAAATATCTCAACAGATACTTTGGCAGTATGTCGCGAGATGGCGTTGTGTACGATTCAGAGTGTTTACTTCCATTCCGAGTTCAATTATTAATCTTGAAAACGTGCATCCTGATCAAATTTTTCGAATTTTAATACTGTTTTGGACTTTATTTCGTCGAAGTACACGTTCGACACTCGCGGCATCTACTACTCAACTGATTCTACCGCTCTACCGCTCGCCGAAAGCTGGTGCTAAAATTTGGCTCGGGCCTGGTCCGACGTTTTCAATGGGACCAAATTGGCAATGCCCGAAAAACCGTCCGTGTGAACGCTCGGCACGAGCCAAATCTGGCGCAGGCCTAATTAGGCTCGGGTCAAAAACGTCCGTGTGAACGCGCTTTTAGATAGCAGTAGATGCTTATTTTGATGGATAGGGAATTGACATTCTCATACTTCGGTCGGCATGTCAAACCTGCTAGATTTTTTACTATTTCTATAGAGCAAAAGAAGTGGGGGATAATATATATATATATATATAATTATATTGACTATTACTAGTAGTAGTAGCATAGAATACATCTATCTTATATATATATGTAATTAGGCAGAAGCTGATGGAAACATGTACATGAGTACTTCGTACGGTACAGTGCGTGCGGCGTAGTACAGGGTTATGTACAGTGTTTATGCAGTGTACTACATGAACACTGTGGGTACTGTGCGAATGCATGTTGTACTGCACGTACATAATTAAAATGTGAGTTCGTGTGCCATGTGTATATGCCATACTACTAACGCCCACTTCTACCAATATTTAATAGCTGCTGTCGCTGTGTATCTGGTATGAGAGTCCATGCTCATTCTCATCAAGCTGCAAACTGGTAGCAAATGCCTCTGTTTGAGTAACACTAACAGGCTACTGAGAACCGCCTGGCATTGATCACATGCTAATTCATCTTGCATGCATGCATGTAGTCTAGGAGTAGGAATGCCAGCAGTGGTGGTGGGTGTGGTGTGAGGAGGCATTGATGCTTAGCACAGTCAGCCATCCCGGGGGTTTTCAAGGATGCCTCCATCTAGACACAATAACGTAACCTTACAGAGTATAGGTTTTTTGCTGTTCATTCTACTGTTCTCTACATGTTTTCTCCTACTATTTTTTTTGGGTTTAACATACGTTATTGCACCTAACCTCCACCGTACTTTGCCAGAGAGCTTGTTTGCAGTGTAAATTTATGCTCGTGGGTGGCGGTAGTGCGACAGCCGTGTTTGTACTAGTTGAGAATATCGAAGCGCTCTAAAAATTGGGCAGTTATCACGTACATTTAAGTCTGTACAGTAAATATGCATGTATAGACTTGCGGCATGTCGTTGAGAATCAATTCATTCTTGATACAGTAGCCAAGGGGACTGTACATATATATAGCCTAACTTAAATATCCATGCATGTATGAAAACCTCAGTACGTTAAGACTAGCATAAGTCATGTAATGTATGTATATATTGATGATAGTCTAGAGAGTGAGTCTCTTAGATTAAATGAGCTGGATAGCTAAGTTGTCGGTACATGCTGGTACTAGGATTCTGCTATAATTGGGGGAGAGTCAAGCATAGCCCCCGCTGCTAGAATTTTCCACTCTGTTGAACTCGGTAAATTTGCCGTGTACAGTGCCGATTCGCGAAAATTACGCCCCGCCGGCCTGGTTTGCAGGCGTACATGTCTGGCCTCGGCACTTTCATTGGGGGGCGAGGATGCTGTCTAGGTGGAATGTTTTTACGGGAAGATGGAGAAATTGCACTAGATTCAGTCTTCGTTGCTCACCGATAACTAGTGTTTCAGGAAACTGCAGGGCATTCGTTCGTCACGTGTAAATTCGCGCAGACTTGTGCATTAGTCGAGACAATAGCATTGCCCAGGGGGCTATTACCTTACTTTCTCTGCACCTCAAAGTTTAATTCGGGAAAGAAGCTTTGTATGGGAAAATTAGCAGGCACAACTACCATACATGTGTGACTCTGTAATTTACAGAGTCACACATGTATGGTAGTTGTGCCTGCTAATTTTCCCATACAAAGCTTCTTTCCCGAATTAAACTTTGAGGTGCAGAGAAAGTACACGCAAAACCTTATTTACAGTGTAAATAAGGTTTTGCGTGTGGGGGGCAGGGTCTTTCTGTAAACTAAACACCTTGATTATCTTTGTGTGGTAAACAAATTGGGCTGTGAGCTATGTGGGCGACATTGATATATATATATATATAGGGAATAATAACAAGGCATTACTGCTACTTGCTTTACTGCCAAGTGACTTTCATATATATCAGGGTTCTCCAAGCTTTTTCATTATAGCATGGGGGTGCTGCCTTTACGGTCCTAGTTGCAAATCGCCGAAGGCGGTTTGCGTGCTAGGGAGGTCTGGAGGCTATGATATTTAGCATGGCAGCTATGATATTGAGAGTGGCAGGCCTCGACGATAGCCTGGCAGGCCGTCAGGCTATAAGTGCTCTTGGAGAACCCTGTATATATATAGCATGTAGAAAACATTATTTGTAAAGTGCTAGATGCTGTTGTTGAGTATTTACAGTGTTTAAATGTGATAGAATCTCTGATAGATATGTTGGATCTATCAGCCTACCGCAACTGGCCTTGCACACATTTAAAACATGTATTTGCCACACATACTGAGCACTACAGTGTAAACTCTATAGAGTTAACTGAAGGTTATAGTCAGTCAAAATGAGCCGGTGGGCGTGTGTGTACAGTACAAGCAACTTACAGTTACATGTGCTATGTGCGAAGTGAGAGGGAGAGAGTGCATACAAACAGAAAATCACATTTTTTCGTGCATCTGTGTGTTTTAGCCGAGTACGCAAGTGATATTACTGGCCGGTGCACATGCATGTGCTGAGAGATGGGCTTGGCTGCAGCGGGTGGTGCCACACGCAGACAGTCAATAGAGCTACCCGCTATTAGCTGTCTCCGTTTTTATTGGATTTTACAATGTGGCCAGTGTGACTGAATCTAAAACAGTGAATCATCATTTCCGTGCTCTGGCCTCTGCTAGACACTTATGTCTGTACAACGCTCCGTGTATATATATGCAGAGGTACATGGGCTTTGCAGGCAACTTGTTTCTACTGGGGGTGTGGCAGCTAGGTACCTCAAGATACGATCCGTATCACGATAGACCTTTCACGCTACATGACATGTATCGCGATGCTTTCAGCAGATACACTTAACAGTACTCTAGCATACATGTGTGATGGATATACCGTGAATGCACATGTATACAAATAAGTATCGTGGTGTGTTTCGTCAACAACTGTTATTGAATTTACTGTGAATTAATTGTGTCATGCTTCTGTTGTTTTCTGGTGAAACTATGCTACCAAATGCTATGGGGTTAATTCAGTAGAATATCGATACGTGTATCGTGGATAGTCAAATGTACTTGTATCGTCAAAGCCTGTATCGTGATACATCGATATGTATATTATTGATGACCCATCCCACCCCTAGTTTCTAGATATATATATATATATATATTATGCTATTTACATTATCTTTATATTGTACATGTAGGTTTAACAGCTAATGCATTGCCAGGTGTCTTCTTTCCATCGGGTGACCTTAAGCTTAAGCACATACCTCAAAACTGATTTCTTTGGGCAGCTTAAGGTTCTTGCTGAATTTTCAGTCAACCTTACAGGGATCACGAAATAAATATGTAGGCAAGGTGAGGAAAAATGCATGAAGCTGTTAAATCATCAAGCAAAGAGGGGTGAAGATTAAAAAAATACAAGCGATCAGTGTGTACTGTAAACAAACACTGTTGTTGGCAACATACATGTCTCTATAAGACTCCCTATATCGCCGACGTCCGTTTTAGATGCAGAAAATAATGAATTCACAGTGGAAAACGCTGGTCTCTAAATTGTGCACGTGAAGGGATTACGAGGTCACTGTAAGTGTTACTAAAAAATAAATGCATAAAAGTTTGTATTTATATAAAAAGAATGAGGTCGCATTTAGCACAGTTTCACGCATAGTTTCAAAACTCTGGCCCGTACAGCAGCAAGGTGGCTGGGTGGTTAATCGTCATGTGGACCACGTACTGCTCACACTCACAGTCGAGTGTAAACCGATACAGAGATGATGAATGTGTACAGAAGCCCTCAACCTAAATTTAGAGCGAGAATCGCAACATTCCCTCGCAGGCTCCCCGAGCTGAGCAGGGTCGTGTACATCTAGTGTCAAGTGTATGCCTCCTAGCATAAACACACCTGACAACGCCAGTACCTGACATATATCAGCCGGGTAGATGGGCCCAGACCGATGGAATCATCATCGTTCAGTATGCACGTACAGTACTCTGTCTGGTGGCTAGTTTGTGCTTTACTTGGATTCCAGGAAGTTGCCCGCATTTTGTACTTTGTAGTGGATGCGGTCTATGGGCCAGATCTTGAAATGTGGCTCGAAGTTGATGTCTGCTGTACAGTGGATGTATCTGTGAGTGTGGGTGTAGAAAAACGACGAGTATGTGCGTACGTGTGCGTGCGTCTGCATATGCGCGTGTGGGCGTGCGTGTGTGTGCACGTGCGTGTGTGTGTGTGCTCATCATGTAAGTTAATGATCCCTGACTGTACAGCATCTTTTAAGTGGTAGCTACACGTACACGTATATAACTGCGGTAAGGACGGCGAACAAACCTGCATTGCTACCACGAGGCGTGATAGACTCATTCGCGAGCAGCTACCCATATATTTGAGTTACATCCATGAATCATCATCGTTAGTGTATGTACACCAATGCAGTATACGTGTGATGGGTCCCAACGTTGTTGACGTACGCTTGCAAGTAGTGAGTATAGTATGCAGACACATTATGGGTTCCAGCGTTGTTGGCGTACGCTTGCAGCAGCGAGGCAGCATGCAGACACATTCGTGACGGGTCCTAACATTGACGTTCGCTTGCACCAGGTAGTGAGTAGACAAGCGAGAGCGCAGGAGAGACAGGAGGAGCACGGGGCCGACAACCCGATCGCATCGCAGACCGCGCCGCCGCCATGGCAGAAACACAAGTGCAGGCCAACGGAGACAGGTTCATCGACACGGTCGATCCGGACGATCCGGAGTACATCCGGCAGATGCAGAAGCCAGCAGTCATAAAGGTGAGTTGGCGGTGTTACCTTCCCGCAAAAGTCTATATACTATTCCAGTGTTTCCCCTGGCCAAAAAGGTCTGTGAGGTGGTTAATATCCCTATGATGGGTTTGCGCGTTTCGAGGTCCTAGCAACGCGAGCACCGCAGGAAAATTTTTGATAAAATGGTGTGCACGATTTGGTGCATTCTAATTAAGCTATTTTTGGTGCATTATAAGCACCGTTCTGTGGAAGAACAGTGATTTTCGTCAGCGAGGCAGTGTTTTGGACAAATCTCTGTGTGGCGGCTGAGAATTTGAGCGAGGCGGCCTGCCTCGCTCGTGTCAATGCAGGGGAAACACTGCTATTCTATGCTACGCTGTGCCATGCTGTGTTCTGACGGTAGCCATAAATCGGCCAATAAAATGTGTTGAGTAGCGGCGTTTTGGCGAGTCGGTCAGTAAAGGGGAAACAAGCAATATTTTATCTTTAAGGCCTTGTGTTGAGGTGGCTGATGCAGGGCAGATCCACCTATTCGTCCGCGTGAGGTAGAAATCTCGTTTAATTAAAGATAACCCCCTTTGGACGGCGTTGTTATGTCTCTCGTAAGCTAGCCGGGTTTATGTGCGTGGTTATTTCGCGCGTGCGAGCTGCAGCCATGGCAACCGCGTTGCTAAGCATCGTGTTTAGAGTGTTCTCTCGCAATGCCAATTGGCTAGAACTGCCGGGTCGATCGCCCCGGGTCAACGGGCCAATTAGTCACTTACCTTAATCCAGCGTAGGGATGCTGCTAGGTTGCAATCGCATCCCTTTGCAAACCCGCTCCAGGTGAATAAAATCCGCTCCAGCTAATTAGCTTTTTTAGGGATGCTGCTAGGCTGCGTTCGCTCCCCCTCGAAAACCTCGTGTCCCCTTGCAAACCCGCTCCAGGTGAACGGGTTGATTAATCACTCCTGCTTCCTCATCCAGCGTATGGATGCTGCTAGACTGCGAGCATGTCCGCGGGTTTGCAAGGGGTGGATGGGTTAATTATTACTGCTTCCTCATCCAGCGTAGGGATGCTGCTAGGCTGTGGTCATGGCCCTGGCAAACCCGCTCCAGGTGAACGGGGTAATTAATCACTCCTTAATCCAGCATAGGGATGCTGAGCTAGGCTTCATTCCCGCCCCCTTGCAAACTCTCCCTCGTTAACCCACCCGTGTTTCTCACGCAAAAAATTCATAATAAAATAAATAAATTTTAATGAAACACGCAGGAGGACTGCTTCTTTCCGCGGACTCGCTCGTGTTCATCTCTCGCGCTCACGCAGGAGTGCAAACCCCCTCGTGTCCGTGATATCACGCGTTAACCCGCTCCGTGTTTCTCTCTCGTGTTTCGCACGCAGGAGGACGTGAAGGAGATGGACAGACGTAAGCGCGTGAACCTGATCCTCAGCAGCCAGGCGTTTCGCGAGGAGCTGGAGGACATCATCTCGAGTCAGATCCAGCAGGGCCCGCATCCGGCGAGCCTCATTGCTCTGCAGCAGATCTCGGAGCTGATCCTGCCGCAGGCGCGCTTCAACCAGTCCGTCGGCCGGCCCTCGAACGCGCTCAGCCGAGGTACGAACCGCGCGAGTGTGGGTGTCTCTCTCGCCGCCCACCCGTCTCCTCTGCTTCCGGCTCCCCACTGCGCATCCCTTTCCTGAACCTATCGCCCGTTTCCTTCCCACCCTACCGCCCCTCCTCACCCGGACCCCCGCCGCTAGTTTCTTTGCTGCACCCACCGCTCCTGCCTTTCCTACTACCCCTCCCTTTGACGCCCTTTACTGCCTCTCCCTTTTCTGTCGTCCGTCCCTTTCCTTCGGGGCTTCTCCCTGCCGCCCGCCCCTGCCACCTGCCTTTCCCTCACCTCTGCGCGTTCCTTTCCTGCTCCCTGCATGTCTCTTTCCCTCCCCCACCGATTTGTGCAGTGTGATGATGGCCTTCAAGAATAAATTGTCTTGAATGTGTTTTGCTGGTTCGTGAAGTTTTCGCTTGCGGGCAGGCCGGTGCAGCAAAAAGTGAAACTGATGTGTCTCTGTGTAAGTACTAAGGATTTTCGGTGTGTGAAATTTTTAGTCTGCTGTACGCGGAAATGACTAATGGTGTAAACAGGATTTACACGTAGTTTTTAGTTTTTACTGATAGTTTCCGATCTTTTTCTCCAATCTTGCTTTAAGTATTTTGCAGCCTATAAATAGTATAATATAGTATAACTAGTTGTATTAGACCTCGTGAGTAAGTGTAAAAGTGTTTGCTTCCAGTCCCAAGCTGCTCCATCTTTTAATTATGGTTTCTGAAAATTTTCCTCTTAATAAGTCTTAAATAAACACTAATATGTGCTAATCTGGTACGATCAATTGCACATAAAATCATACAATTCCTCACTGATACAACCATCTTTGATATTAGCACCTTGTAGTTTCTACATTAAACTTGTTAATGACTTTAATTTGAAACGATAAATGTAGGTTTTTGGACCAGCTGATAAACATTTGCTTTCAACAGCCCCCCACCCCCCCGGGCGCCAAAAAAATTAAACTGCATGAGCTCCATTTACATGAGTTTTAATTTGTATTAGTTACACGGTGTTTGTGTGTTCACCGATGTAACACTAACAATCTCTCTACGGGGGTAACCTTTCTGGGTGAAGCCTGTCACGTAAAACCAAAGCAACACTGTTGGTTCCCAAACTAGGTTCCACAAGGTGTTATAATTTTGGTTGTTTAAGTTGTTTCGAGTTGTAATATATATATATTATATATATAAATATATATATATATATAGGATTTAAATATATGTAATGTTGTAATATAAATTGATGTAACGCCAATTTCATACCTCGCGACATGGGGAGCCGCTAAAACGGGAAGTTTTACAGATGTAAGAATGCATTAATCATCAATGCTGGCCAGTCGAGGGCAGACGCAGAAAGGGTGGCAGCGTGAGTCATAGAGCGCTGAATGTTCAGGCCGTGATGATCTCATGCTGTTACCAGTCATACCTGTTACTGTTAGAGAGAGCGAGAGAGAGCTCTGTAAGTTGTAACTCTCTCTTTTTCTCTCCCGCTCTCTCTCTCTCTCTCTCTCTCTCTCTCTCTCTCTCTCTCTCTTTCTCTCTGTCTCTCTTTCTCTATCTTGCTCTCTCTC